CTAGGGGAGATAGCAGGTGTGCATTTAAAAAATCCATAAAGTTGGGACTAGTTGTCACAGTGAGACAGTTGTCTATCATTTTTCCTCTGGAACATATGTTTAAATACTGATTTGCTTAGTGACCTGCAAGTCTCATTTCTTTAATGCCTGCAAATGTCCTATGTCAAGTTTATTTGATACTGCCTCAGTTCATTTTGTGGAAAATTTTTGGATTATAGTGGAGATGTGCCCATGATTTAGCACTATGATTGAATTACTCAAAAAGATAATAAGCATGTGAAGATGGAAATGTTAACTTTAATTCAGTTGAGAGTATGTTTGTGAGGCATTGCTCTGCATTATTTATGTGACTTTGGCTGGAAGATATGGAAGTGTTTTAATTTGATAACACACATTCCACTCTTCTCATTTAAAAAATACACATTTTGGAAATGTTCTCAATTTATCTGTGTTTCCAAATGGAATGGTGCAAATGACCTGATTACTGGTCCTATTGTTGTTTTATGATGAATTTCCAATTTTTAGCCAAGAAACAGTTGGGACTTGACTCAACACAGTCTAATCCAAGGAGGAAAATATAGCAAATTTGGCCGAACCAAAATTGATTATCCTGTCTTTCCCTTGCCTTTTGTTTCATGATTTTGTCCTTCATAACAGCTTCATAGAATCATTGACAGAATGGAAGGAAGCCACTTTTCCCATCATATCTGCACCAGTCAACAAAGATTTGACCATACTCACCCCATTTTCCACTTCATTCATTCTAAACACGGTGGCTTAGTGGTTAGCACTGCTGCCTCACAGCGCCATGGACCCAGGTTTGATTCCACCTTCAGGTGTCTGTCTGTGTGGAGTTTGCACATTCTCCCTGTGTCTGCGTGGGTTTCCTCCCACAGTCCAAAGATGGGCAGCCGACTTGGATTGGCCATGCTAAATTGCCCATAGTGTTCAGGGATGTGTAGATGGGTTATGAGGTAAGGGTAATGGGTCTGGGTGGGTTGCTCTCAGGGTCGGTATGGATTTGGCGGGTCGAAGAGCCTATTTTCCATACTGTAGGGATTCTATGATTCTTATGCTGTAGCCCTGGAGCAACACAAGTGAATATCTAAATCCTGCTGAAATGTTACACGAGTTTCTGGCTCCACTACCCTAGCAGGCAGTGAGCTCCAGATTCATACCACCTCCTGGTAATTGAGGAAATGTTTTTCCTCTCAGCCTTCTACATGTTATCTTAAATCCATGATCTCTAGTTATTGACCCTCCTACTAATGGAAAAAAGTGCTTTCCTATCCGCCTTAACTGCCCTTCATAATCTTATACACCTCTATCAACTCCTCTTTTAACCTTTGCTTCTCCAAATCAAACAATCCAAGCCTATCTAATCTTTCCCTATAGCTCTGCCCCTCTCCAGCCCAGACAACATCCCAGTAAGTCTCCTCTGCAGCCCCTGTATAGTGCAATCCCATTCTTTGTATGATGTGGTGACCAGAATTGATTCTTAGAATCCCTCCAGTATGGAAACAGGCCCTTTGGCCCAACAAGTCCACACCGACCCTCAGAGCATCCCACCCAGACCAATGCCCCGTAACCCACCTAATTTCCACATCCCCGTACCCTATGGACAATTTAGCATGGCTAATCCACGTAGCCTGCATACCTTAGGACTGTGGGAGGAAACCAGAGCACCTGGAGGAAACCCACGCAGACACAGGGAGAATGTGCAAACTCTGCTCAGACAGTCGCCTAAGGGTGAAATCGAACCTGGGACCCTGGTGCTGTGAGGCAGCAGTGCTAACCACTGAGCCACTGTGCTGCCTATTGCATGCAAGGTCTCTGGTTGTGGCCTACCCAAAGTTTTACACAGTTCTGGCATAATCTCCCTGCTTTTATATTCTATACGTTGGCTAATAAAGACAAGTAACCTATGTGTTTTCTTAACCACCTTACCTTCCTGATTTGCTACCTCAGGATCTGTGGATCAAGATGTCTCTGATCTTCAGTACTTTCCAGGGTCCAACCATTCATAGCGTAATCCCCTGCCTTGTTAGACTTGCCCAGTGCACTACCTCAGAAAATTCTGGTTGAATTCCAATTATTACTGTTCTGCCCAGCTACCGGTCTGTTTGTGTCTTCCTGAAGATTATGGCTATCCTCCTCAATCCCTGTCTGTCCAAGTGCAGATAAATTGTGTCCCTTAAGAAAAAGTGAATTGTTTCTCATAATTTGCCCAGCATCAAAATTAGGCTGACTGGCCTGCAATTTCCTGGTCTATCATCTCCTCCCTTTCTTAATAATGGGACAATGATAGTGCCCTCACCTGTGGTTAGAAAGTGTTTGAAAATTACAGCTAAGGTCCTGTCCTTGCCTCCCTCAACAGCACAGGATACTTCTCATCGGGGCTTATAGATTTATCCACTTTTAAGGTTGCTAAAACTGTTCGTACCTTCTCTGTTTCTCTTTTTCCATGTTAACTTTGTCAAATGCTTCACAGTGCTGCACTCTGATGTCTATACCTGCATTGTCCTTTTCCACTGTGAAGACTGACACAAGGTATCCATTGAAGACTGTGCCCATGTCTTCCAGGTCCTCACACTGATTACCTTTTTGACTCCTAATAGGGCCTACTCTTTCCACAGCTATTCACTTACTCTTTATATATATGTTTTAAAAGACATTCTGTTTTCCTTTATTCTACCAATTAATGCTTTCTTCTGTACTCTCTTTGCTTTCCTAACTTCCATTTTACGTTCCCGCTACACTTCTCATACTCCTGTAGGGACTCAACTATATCGACCCCTCAGTGTCTGCTTCACTTCTTTTCTTAATCCTAATCATCATGTCCCTTAATATCCAGGGTTCTCGTGTCTTGGTCCCACCCTTTGTCTTCTTGGGAATATGTTTGCCCTGTGCTCTTGCTATTTCCTCCTTAAATGTCTCCCACTGCTTTGACACAGTTTTATCTGCAAGTAGCTGCTCCCAGACTACCTGGGAGGATCATATCTCAATAAAACTGACCTTTCTTCAGTTTATTTCCAGGGCCATCCTTATCTTTCTTTCATAACTATCCTTCACGTAACTAAGTTATAGTCACTATCTCCAAAATGTCCCCTACTGATATACCTTCCACCTGCCCAATCTTATTAGGTGCAGAATTGCCCCTCCCTCATTGGGCTTTCTATGTACTTGCTGAAAAGGTTCTCCTAGTGCAATTTAAGAATTTTGCATGACACCCACCTTGCACACGAAAACAATTCCAAGTAATATTTCAGTAGTTAAAATGCCCTACTTATTACTTTTCTCTGAAATTTGATCACATATTTGTTCTCGTGTCTCTCCCTGATTATTAGGGTCTTGTAGTACTCATCCATCAGCACGGTGCCTCTGTAGTTAGCACTGCTGCTAGCACCTAGGTTCGATGCCAGGCTTGGTTGACCATGTGGAGTTTGCATGCACTCCCTGCCCCTGCATGGGTTTCTTCTGGATGCCTGGTTTCCTCCCACAGTTCAAAAATGTGCAACTTAGGTGGATTGGCAATGGTATAGTGTCCAGGGATGAGCAGGCTAGGTGGGTTAGCCATGCAAAATGCAGGGTTACAGGGATAGGGTAGGGCATCAGGGTCTCAGTCTGTGTGGGGTGCTCTTTGAAAGGTTGGTATGGGCTGAATGGCCTCTTTCCACACTGCAGGGATTCTATAAATGGTGTATTTGCCCTTTTTGTGTTTTGCTGACTGCCTGACACAAGGTCCCCACTTCACCCGCTTCCCTCAGTGATGCTGACTTATTGTCACAGGGTCCTCACTTGCCTCATTCTCAGTCTCCTTTTGCGGTAATTTCAATCAGTTGGGAGGATATCTGGTCAGTCGGCAGCATCAATACTGCTGTGAAGCAAGTAGAAGTGAACATTAATTGGAGAGCTGTACCCTACTGCACAGTTTTCCCTCCACTGAGAACACATCAAGCTGACTGAGTGAGGGGAATTGATCTCGAATATCTATTATAACTGGTATAAAAATGAAGTGTTTTGAACCAATGCTTTTATCTATATTTCCCAAGTCACTATCATCCCTTCCCCACCTAACTCTCAGAAAAACTAGTATTTAAAATTAAATTTCATGGAATCATTAGCAAAGACATACCACACAAAATTCATGCCACACAGTATCAGCTAAAATATTGGACATGAATTTTGAACATGTCTTTCTTGAATGAGGTAACTACAATCCATAAGTAAACTTTACCAGTTTAATACACAGGAAAGTAAATAATAGGAAGGTTTCAGCATTTTAACAAGTGGTTGTTCTCTGCCATATGGCCCTCAACCACTGGCATAACAAAGTTAACAAATCATTGAGTGAATTGTTTATAGATCACATAGAGTAGATTAAACAGTGATATGGATTTCAATGAATGTCACAAAATCAACACGTATCAGATTACTTTATACTTTGCCAAGAGGGAATTACACAGAATTTTACAAGACAGAAATGGGTTAATCGATCAAATAGACTTATTCCAGTGTTTCCACTCCACAAACCGTCCTTCCTCCTTCCACCTTACTTCATCCCATCCTATCAACATATCCTTCCATTGCTTTCTTCATCTTGTTCTTAGTTAAATGTGTCAGCTTCCACCTAATGCAGACAGAATGTGTTGGGTTTGACTTTGAAACTTATGGCATAACAATACTTACTTTACAGGTTCACTTTTGAAACTGGATTAAGTTGATCCATTTTAAAAAATCTTATCTAATAATGCAGGAAGTTTAAAATCCACAGCCTTCTTGGAGGTCCCTCATGAGCTAGGTGATAAATATTTTCTATAACTCGATTCAGTTCTTTATGTTGTTATCAATGAAATGTAAAAGTAAAAATGTTTCTTATTTAATCCAGTCAGTTAGTGTGATAGACTTGTGCTACATCTGTTTTTCAAAATTCAGTCAGTTCCACATGCAAGTCTCTACTGGAAGCTGTCAGTATCTAATAGTATTGTCTTTTCTTACAGTTGAACACCCTGACAAAATGGCTAATGACCAAGGTACAGTAGCCCCACACTGTCAACTTTTCACATCAAATCAGAGATGTGCATTATGAATAATATTCAGTGCCATTTTATAATGCAGTGATCCTTCAGGGTCATATGCAGAAAGGAATTACTGCTCCTGTGATAATTAATCTCATTAATGAAGTGCCACTGAACCGAGGCATGTGTTTAATGAGTTAGAAGTAGACTTCTTCAGTTGAGAATTGTTTTGCCTTTCTAGTCAGATAGATCAAGTGAATTGATTTCTGTTCAGTCCTCTTGCATGAGATTCCAATTTCTATGAATAATCTTTTAATTAACCAGTGCATTTATTCGATACATGAAGGGACCAAATTTTGGCTGTTGTGAATCCAATCCTTCTTTCTTTTCTCGATCTATAAGCAAATGTTTTGTATGTATTGTGCATTGGATGCATCCGCCACATATGAAATCCTGATTGGCTGAAACTATTCGTAAACAAGGTAATAAATCACTGTCACACGGATATTGCTGGTTTCTTTAAAAGTTATGACAAATAGGAAAAGCGCCATCTATAAGCAACTGCAAACCCCAAAATACAAGCAAAAATACTCCTCAGTTTTTTAAAAGCATTTTCCGTTGCCATTTGGTTTTTTGTGATCCACAATATACGTTAACAATAAAGTCTGTACACACCCCAGTTCAGTTTAATAATGATATCACTTGGAATTCGATGGCATTACCAGAACTGTTTCTCCCACTATCAACATCCTGAGGGTTACCATTGTTCATACACTAACCCGAACTGGCCATGTAAAAATTGCTGTGAAAAGAGCAGGTCAGAATCCTGCAACGAGTGATTCACCTTCTGACTTTTTAAAATCTGTCCAGCATCTACTAAGCAAAAGTCAGGAGTGTGATGAATGCACTCCATTTTCTTGGAGTGCAGCTCCAACAATGCTCATAAAGCTTGACACCATCCAGGACCAAGCCTGCTTGATTGCCGCTCCATCTAACCCATTCAACGTCAATTTCTCCTCCACCAATGCACAGTGGCAGCAGTTGTACCATCTACAAATGCACTGCGGTAACTCACCACCACTCCTTTGACAGCAGTTTTCAACCTGGCGATCCCTGCCTCCCAGAGGACAAGTGCAGCAGGAACATTGGATCTCCAGCCGTTTAGGAAAGCCGGTCGGCATGGATGAGTTGCCGAAGGGTCTGTTTCTCTGACTCTATTAGCTGCAGGTTTTCCTGCAGGTCACACACCATCCTGATTTAGAACCATCTCACCGTTCCTTCATTATTGTTGTTTCAAAATTCTGGAACTCCTTTCCAAAAGTACCGTGAGTGTACTTACGCCACACAGTCTGCAGTGTTTCAAGAAAGCAGCTCATCACCACCTTCTGAAGCCAGCCAATGACACCCACATCCCATGAGTGAATAAAGAGAAGAATATAGGCCTGGTGTTCTGGATCATTAGTCTAGTGACACACCACTACATTATCATATCCCCGAATATGGAGGCTTAACTTTAAAGCAGGCAACCTTTTTAAAAATGCATTAGACTTGAGCAAGAACGACTATCAGAACAGACTATATTTATTCTAATATTGGTGACTGGAGGATGTAAATTCTGAAACCATAAGGAGGGGATGCAGGGCAGATAAAGTTAACAAGAAAAAAAGATGCTGCGTTTTTGAAAGGTATTGTGGTGACTCAGAGTAGTTTGGCAAATGCACAACCAGCACCATATTTTGGAGAAATAGACGAAATAGGCTCAGCATGTGTTTTTATTTGTGATGTGGAGATGATTTTGCTATTTGCAGAGGATGATATGATTTTCCCTTTGTCAGCACATCCCTTGTCCAGTTTAGTCTCAGCAAAATGTCAAAGATGCCAAATGCATAACTGACTGAAAGGGTATTTGTCAGAGGCAAACAGAGTGCAGATATGCAAGGATGAAAGTGAACAGAGGAAAGGAGAAACTTACAGGGAAATAATAGAATCATGGAAAGTACAGCAGAGCCACATTCATTAGATGCAATGCATCTGTGCAAATGATTCAACTGAGTTATGTGTGTGAGTCCCAATTCGCTGTTCTTTCAGCATCATTCTTTTAAGTGAATGAGGAATTATAAGAAAGTGAATTGGTGGCAAACAACATATTGCAGAGACAATAAAAAGAAACACTGTATGAGATGCAAAGAAAGAAATGGGCCAACATGATGAAGACAGACACTAAGACAAAATTAGCACAAGAAATTTTCTTAAAATTGCTTTGCTGTAAGAAATGCCATAAAAAATTAAGGAAAGGAAAAGATGGTTTATTTTCAGAGTAAGGGAAAAGGGGTATAATGGCCTTGTTGGGTTACTGGACTATAACCTAGGGACCCAAGCATACTCTGGAGACACAGATTCAAATCACACGCCGACAGCTGGTGGAACGTAAATTCAATTTCATAATGAATCTGGAGTGAAAAACTATCTCATTAAAAGTGACCATGAAACTATCGTATTGCCATTGGATGTCATCTGATGTCCTTCAGGGAAGGAAATCTTGTGTTCTGACTCAGTCTGGCTTCCATGTAATTCAAAAATTTCCGTAAAGGTTGATTAGTAAGCGCCGTCTGAAGTGTACTAGCAAGCTGCTGTGTTTTGTCAAACTTCTACAGAAACGTCCAGTAAGAATAATACTGGACTGACCACTAATCATCAACCTGGACTCTGAAATCAACAAAGACACACACAACTCAGTCAAATTGGCAAACTTCTCATAATGTTTTGGGTCTTGTCCTAAAATTGGAAGACTAGTCAAGCTACAGCGTGATATAGCTATATTCATCAAATCATACAATGTAGCTAATATACTAAATTCCTTTATCAATGAAACCAGATGTGATGCACTGATCGGACAGAATCACTAGATGAGGCTGTGCAGCAATACATTGGAGAGGGACTTGCCCTCAACATCCTCAAAATTGACTTTGGATCCCATGACGTCTCTTGGCATTAGGTCAAACATGGCAAGGAAACATCCTGCTGATATCTAGCTCCTGCCAGCAACTCCCACATCCTATGAACAAATAAAAAGAACTCTTTACTTGCCTGAATGAGTGCAGGTTCAACAACACACACACACATCAGCTAGAGTAAAGCAGCCTTTTTGACTGGCAGTCAATCTACCACTGAAATACTTACTCTGTCCATGACTGGCACACAGTGACATCAATAGGCTTTGTGTACAAGACACATCTCTGCAACGTGTCAAGCCTCCTTCAACAGCATCTTCCAAATTCATAATTTCTATCACCAAGAAGGACGAGGGAGGCCAATATTTAGGAAGATCGTTAACTTGTACCACTTGCAAGTTCACCTTCAAGCCACACTGAATTGAAACTATATTGCTGTTCCTTCACTGATACTGCATTAAAAACTGCATTATTGTAATTTTATAAAATACAGACCACTGATCTTTGAACCCTATGGCTGAGTTAGTACCTGGGACTTTAATGGACTGAAATTGTTTTAAAAAGGAACTTTTTAAAAGCACTAACTTTGTGCCACAGACATCTCCTATCCAAAACAGATTGACTACCTTTCATGAAATCAGTCTGGTCCCCCTCCTCTGCATCTCAGTCAAACCTAGGAAATATTCTATTTAATTTACATCCTTATGAAAATCTTCACATGTTGGAAACAGAACATCATTGCGGTGACTAAGTCTAGAGAATCATAAACTTTAGCAGATGTAATATAAATGCAAGCTGCTATTTCAAGAGGTTCTCTCTTTGGTAGAGAGCTGATGGATTTTGATTGCAGAATTAATCACAGGCTGGAAGAGGTTCTCTCTCAGTTCCTCAAGATGAAAACCATCCAGTAACAACACTGACTGGAAAGCAATGTTAAGATACTGAGAACTTAAAAGATAACAGCAATAATCTCTGCTGCTGACAGTCCAAGAATCAACTGGTTAATTGTGGTCTCAAGTTAAAACCTTACACCTCAAGGGTACCCAAGAAGAATTCTAAACCATACATTCTCTATTAGTCTTCTTCTGTAGTGGGTAATTACCCCTTTTAGCTTTGTGTGTGTTTGCCTGAGTGTGTGCAGATATGTGCTCAAGTGACAGCACAAAGTTCTCAATATTGTGTCTTTATTCCCCTCATCTTGTCAAGAACAGTGATGTGGGCATTATTTACAGGATGGACAAAAAAAGCCTTCGATCCTGAAATGGTTGAAATCCAAACAACACCGACCTCACTTGTGAAATTTCAGTGTGCGGATGATAACATCTCTCTACGAAGAGAACCTTCAAGCCTTGTTTAATGCCTTCGTGGCTGCAAACCAAAGAATTAGTCTTGGTCTCAACCTCAAGACGACGCAAATCCTTTACCAACCCAGGGCAAGTTCCAGTCCATTCCTCCATTAAGATCAATGGAGAAATCTTCCCAAATGTGGAATATTTTCCCTACCTGGGAAGCTACCTCTCATCTAAGGCTGACATCGATGTGGAGATTCAATATTGTATCAAAACATGTGAGCAGTACCTTTGGGCACCTGAGAATGAGAGTCTTTGATGATTGTAACATCTGTGCTGATAACAAGATCCTTGTGTATAAGGCAGTCAGCTATCTGACTCTTATACATGGCTCCAAAACTTGGACTATGCAGAGGGCCACCTCAAGGCTCTTGAGAGCTACCATCATGCTGTTTGAAACAGATTGTCCACATCAGCTACGAGGACAGGCAGATTAACATCGGTGTCATTGAAGCAACTAACAGCAATGGCATCAAGGCCATGAGCGAGCATCTGAAACCATCTCCAGGGGGTCATGTGCTAAAGAGTTCCATGCCTGAGTTCCAATTGTCAAATCAAATCTTCTTCACCCAGTTTAAGGAAGGCGTTCAAGAGGAGGAGGACAAAGGAAGTGCTTCAAAGACTCCATGAAAGACTTACCTCAAGAAATGCAGTACCAATGTCAACACATGGGAGACCCCAATTTAGAAGAAACTGATTTGGAGAAAACTTCTGTACAAAGGGACACAATTTTTCAAAAACACCTGGCGCCAAGAGGAAGTACAGAAAAGGAACTGGAGTAAGGAATCCAGCGATTTTGAGGGCCAAGGACCAACTCCACCTCCCAGAAACACCTGCTAAATGTATGATAGACAACACAGCTCTAAGATCAGACTCATCAGATACACAAGACCCACAGAACCTATGACCAGTAACACAGAATTTCCTTGGTGGACAATCATAATCCTAAGTAAGTGATTGCCAACAATTATATTTCTCAGAAATAGCAGGTAATAAGTTTGCTATATTCAACTCAAGAAAACATTACCATTGGCTCCTTACAGCTACAGTAGAAGTTAGGTTGCTGCATCTTATTTGGGGAAAGCTATGGATATGTGCTAAAAAGAACTTAAACATTTCCTGCACCCAACAAGGAGGTTGAAAAGAAGGGAGTCAATTTGCTTTTTCTCACCTGGTTGTAATAACCAGGAGCTTTCTTACTAACAGCACTATCAGTGCACCATTATCCCATGGACTGCAGTGGTTCAATGACCTGTGTTACTTTCATTTCCTCAAAGTCATTTATCAAATGGGAACATAACTGGCAAAGTTAACATTTGTTATCCATCCCTAACTTCCTTGAAAGATGGCAGTAATCTGCCCTCTTGAACTGTTGCAATCTATACAGTATCTGTTTTGAGGGAGTTGCAGGATTTTAACCTACCGACAATGAGGAACAGCAACGTAGTTCCACATGAAGATGGTGTGTGGCTTGGAGGAGAACCTGATGAGAGGTGATGGTGTTCTCATGCATCTGCTGTCCTTGTACTCCGAGGCAGCAGAGATATGAGCTTGGAAGATATTGTCAAAGGAGTCTTGGTTGGTTGCTGTAGCGCATCTTATAGCTAGTACAAACTGCTGCCCCTATACAATGGTGATGGAGGGAATTGATAGATGGGGTTCCTGTCAGTAGGCTGCTTTGCCCTGGATGGTGTTGAGATTCATGTGTGATGTTGCAGCACACACACATACACACACACACGTGCACACACACACACACACGTGTGCGCTGTTAAATGATATCCAATCACTACAGAATTTCCCAGCTTAAGACGTGCTCTTGTAACCACTGTATTTATTTTCATGCCAACAATCCCTCATGCTTCCCACCTTAATTTATTTCACCGACAGTTGCTTTTTGCTCAAGATGATGCTAAAGGTTTCTTTTTTAACACCATTCCACCAGATTGAAATCTAGCTGAGTTCTGGAGCGCTTATATATGTTCTCTGCCCAGCAGGTAGGAGTGTACATGGAGATGGAGCATTTTGGCCAGCGGACACCAACCTAATTGACCGGAGCAGCTTAAATGGTAAGTTCAGAAATTTAATATCCGATAAAACAAAATCCGTTTGTTTCTCCCACTGCCTGTACCTCACTGCCCACTTGGGCAGTGATTGTTAGTAAGCCCTTTCATCAAAGAGAGATCCACGACAATCCTTTCTTTTCGCTTGTTGTCCAGGCATATACAAAGTTTCAGTTCTAAATAATAATCAAATGTCGGACCCCAGGATAACAATTCCCTATTGTGAAATGATGTTAATTGAAACAAAATTGCCATTGGATAATTCAGTATTGCCCAGAAAATCTCTGCTGTTTTTAGCTTCTAAACCAATGGGGCTGATGAATGCAGCAAACATTCACATAATCCATATAATTGGGCTTGAAGAAGTATTTTAAGTTAAATAAGCAATACTCAGTAATCACATGTTCTTGAATATCAAACACTGGCTCTGACGTCCTGCGTGGTCAACATGTTTTCCAATGAATTTCCATGTTTCAAGTAATTAACCTGTTATATTGCCTGATTCCCCCAGTGGCAATTTAAGCTAACCATAAGGTTTTACACTGCAGCTTTACGATTCTTCCGGATGTCTTCAAATTAAATGTAGTTGATGAACAGAATTGCTATCATTTCAGTTAAAACTGATGTTTGAAAGAAATTCCTGAAGGAATAGTTACAGTATTTAAACAGCTTTCCCGAGAAGTTGTTCACCAGTCACTGTGATTGACCTTTACAAATTAATATTTGTGTTTTCCAGCTGTCATAACAGCTGTCAAATTCAAACACCATTTTTAAAAAAATAACGCAAGGTAAAGCTTGTTATTATTTTCCATTCTGTGGTCTCTCTGCTGGCTACCCCTGTTCAATACAGTACCCACAGAAAACGGGCAAGCCAACAATCTGCTTTCATGTCTATTCCTTCGCTATTATGAAGCCAACCTGTACACTTGAATGCCTGGCCCAGCTCCCTGGTTTAAGCAAGAGGAAAACCAGACGCTGTGGATTCTGGAATTCTAAAGAAGAGCCCTATTGGACTCACGTTGTTCAGTCCGTCATGAATATTCACACAGAAGGAGAACCTGTGCCTTTTCACAAAAATTGAGGTCCAAATCCAGAAGCACCTACCATTCTTGTAGGCTGGTGAGAAATGGAGGCCGGTTCTAATTTGCACATTCAGCAATCGTAGAAACAACTGCATATGTTAAAGAACATTTTTGCGAGTGGGATGTATAAAATATGACTGATGCATTTAGTCCTGGTAGGAGAAAATCTAAAGTTGGCAGGGTTCTTTGTAAGCTTTCTGGAGCGGTAAGGCACACCGTTGAAAATTGTCCAGACAGACCTCTGTGGGAGTTAAGATGCCTTTCAGATTGGTAAAGGAAGTCATAAATATTTGTGGCTCCCACCCCTCTATTCGCATACCAATCCAGATGACTTTTAAATGTCGTAATTGTGCCAGCCTCCACCACTTCCTCTGACAGCTTGTTCCATGCATACACCACCATCTGTGTGAAAAAGTTACCCATCAGGTCCCTTTTAAATCTTTCCCCTGTCACCTTAAACCTATGCCCTCTAGTTCTGGACTCCCCTGCCCCAGGGAAAAGACCTCATTTATTTACCCTATCCATGCCTCTCATGATTTTATCAACGTATAAGGTCAGCCTCCGATGCCCCAAGAGAAAATAGCCCTGGTCGATTCAGCCTCTCCCTACAGTACAAACCCTCCAGTTCTGGCAGCATCCTTGTAAATCTTGTCTGCACCCTTTCAAATTGAACAGCATCCTTCCTAAAAAAGGGCGACCAGAATTGTATGCAGTATTCTAAGAGTGGCCTCACCCATGTGTTGTACAACCACAATATGACGTCCCAACTCCTACATTCAATGTTCCGACCCAATGAAGGCAAACGTGTCAAATGCCTTCTTTACCACTCTGTCTACCTGCAACTCCACTTTCAAGAAACTAAACATCTGCACCCCTCAGTCTCTTTGTTTGGCAACTCTCCCCAGGGCCCCATCATTCAATTGAATGTACTGCCCTGGTTTGCCTTACCAAAATGCAGCATCTCAAATTTATCTAAATTAAATTCTTTTTGTTTCAGATCTTCGCCATTCACAGTTCTTTGTTTCATTTCAATGAATGACAATGTTTATTTTTGTAAGAGGTTAAAGGAAGGTAATTTTTTTTATCAATGAATGTATTTTTTAAAAATAGTGCATCATAAATAGACACTTCAGAACTTTGTTTAATCTCAGCATGGGTCCTGAGTTCTCCCCATGTTGGATACAGGGTGAGATAAAGGCAAAGGTTAGTGGGTGAGTTTATAAGTGGGCATGTACAAAGAACAAAGAACAAAGAAAATTACAGCACAGGAACAGGCCCTTCAGCCCTCCAAGCCTGCGCCGATCCAGATCCTCTGTCTAAACCTGTCGCCTATTTTCCAAGGAAAATAGGAAATGTATTCGTACTAAGTTGGCGTAAGGAATATAACAGATTCTGAGCATGGGTAGAGGGGCATATGTTAGAATGAAGGCTATGGAGATGTGCCTTGGGGGAGTAGGTAGAAGCCTGGGCAGGCATGAATGGGATGTGGAAAATGTGTGGGGAGGTTATGGATTGTGAATAGTGAGGGCTGAAGATCTTTTTATTATTTGACTGCCTTTTTCAGAACTTTCACTAAGTGCTGGAGCACAGAGGCAAGCCTACTGCCAATCCCACATCTACACCTATTCCAGGGTCTCTGTCGATGACTTCCATAAAACCTGAGCCATATTAGATTGAAAATCCCAACTTCCAGCATTTAATTCAAACCCAAAACAGCCATAAAGGGGGTTCTGAAGAAGGGTCTTTTCGGACTCAAAATGTTAACCCTGTTTCTCTCTCACAGATGCTGGTAGACCTGCTGAGTTTCTCCAGCACACTCTGTTTTTATCTTAAATTTCCAGAATCTGTAGTATTTTGCTTTTATTTTGCTTTTATTACAAAGGGAGATGTTTTGCCAGGCAAGGAGATGTGGGTTTGTGAGCACGCAGTGAGGCAAATCTAGTGGAAGTGGTGTTAGTTCAACTTAGATCATTGCATTATTGAATTAAATTGAATTGAATTGAATTGAATTGAATTGAGTTGAACAAATGACACATTTATTGTCACGTGTATTGAAAGTGAAAATACAGTGGAAAGTGTGTACCTTCACTATACATATATGGCACCATTCACATTAACTTAGAATAAGGTAAGAGAAAAAAATAACTTAAGAGAGCCCAACTTTCCTTTCCGTTGTCGCTGTCCCACTCAGGGCTTGCCAGCCCTTGCCATGCCTCTGCCAACCTGTGCTCTACTGACTTTTTCTGAAGCAAAATTAAATAAAAATAAAACGGGTACTTTTTTCAAAAAAGTGTTCCTTTATGGGAATGTGTGCATTGATATCAAAGCCAGTATTTATTACGTACTCGAACTGACCATGGGAATGTGATGTTGTCTCCTTCAATCGTTTAGTGTACAACTTTTATAGGGCTGTCAGGAAAGAAGTTCCAGCTTTTTGACAGAAACGAAAGAGTGATATTGTCTTAAATCAAGACCATGTGTAGGCGGCACGGTGGCTCAGTGGTTAGCACTGCTGCCTCACAGCACCAGGAACCCAAGTTTGAATCCAGCCTCAGGCGACTGTGTGGAGTTTGCACATTCTCCCCGTGTCTGTGTAGGTTTCCTCCGGGTGCTCCAGTTTCCTCCAACAGTCCGAAGATGTGCAGGTTAGGTCAATTGGCCATGCTAAATTGCCCATAGTGTTCAGGGATGTGTAGATTAGGTAGGTTACAGGGAGATGGGTCTGGGTGGGACGCTCTGAGGTTCGGTGTGGACTTGTTGGGCCGAAGAGCCTGTTTCCACACTGTAGGGATTCTATGATGATTCTATGATTCTGTAGTTTGGAAAGGAATTTGTGGGCGGTTCTGTTCCCAGGATTCTGATGTACTTATTTGTCTTGGTGGTGGAGGTCACAGGCTTGGGAAGGGGCTGTTGAAGGAATCTTGCCAAACTGCTGCGGTGCATCTTGTAGATGTTATACATTGCGCTTTGGTGGAAGGAATGAATGTTTAAGTTAATGTGAGTCAAGCACATTGCATTGTCCTGGATAATATCATGCTAATTGAATGCTGTTCGAGCTGAACTCATCACAGACAAGTTGAAAATATTCCCTCACACTCCTGACTTGTACCTTGCAGATAGTGGACAGGCTTTGGGGAGAGAGAAAGTGTGTTGCTAGCAGTTCAAGTTCTTCTCTTGTAGCCACAGTATTTATATACCTGGCTTAGATAAGGTTCTGGTCAATGGTGATTCCCAGGACATTGATATCGGGAGACTCAAATGTTGCTGAATTTCAAAGACAGGTAATTAGATTCTCTCTCAGTAGGGATGGTCATTGGTTGACACTTTTGTGATGTGAATGTTACTTGCCACTTATCAACCTAAGCCTGATGTTGCCCTGAACTTGCTGGATGTGGGCATGGACTGCATCAATATCTGACGAGGTGTGAATCATTCTGAACATTCTTCAATCATCAGCAAGCATTTCCATTTCTGACCTGATTTTGAAGGAGAAGCTGAAAATGGCTGGAACTAGGATGCAGCCCTGAGGAACTCCTGCAGTGATGTCCTGGGCTGAGCTGGTTGACCTCCAACAGCCAAGCCCATCTTGTTAGGTATGTCTCCAACCAATGGAATTCTCATTGACTCCTGTTTAGCTATGTCTCCTTAATGTCTTGATGCCAAGGGCTGTCACAATCACCTTAAATCTTGAGTTCAGCTGTTTTTTTTCCCACATTTGGAGCAAGGCTACAATGCAGTGACCCGGGTGGTATCTGAATGAAATGTTGGTGAGTAAGTTATTGCTAAGTAAATGTCTCTGGATCGGACTGTTGATGAGATCTTTCAACAATGCGTTAATGAATGAAAGTTGACTGATAGACCTGTAATTGGCCCAATTATATTTGTTATGTTAACAGAAATTACTGGAGAAACTCAGCAGGTCTG